TAGTATAGTAGTGTGTGTGTGTGTGTGTGTGTGTGTGTGTGTGTGTGTGTGTGTGTGTGTGTGTGTGTGTGTGTGTGTGTGTGTGTGTGTGTGTGTGTGTGTGTGTGTGGGGCGCGCGCGCGCGCAAACCAGAGATCCTCTAGCTTTGACACGCGTTCGCGCGCGTATTCTCACCGGGACCGTTCCTGGGGAAAGGTCAGACAGTCAGAGAGGCTAACCTAGTGACTGGAATTAGGTCAACCCCTGACGGAGACGCGCTCTCGCGTCCCCACTTTCCTCGAACACGCGGAAGAGTCCACGTTGCATTCACAGCCAGGTCAGATTGCACCCGATTGGAGCCGACTTGATATTATTTGGATTCGAAGAATCGGATTCTTCATTCACCGAGAATCGACAACTGTTTTTGCTGGCTATTTGACAAGTGTCTTTAAGAAGTACGCGAGTAGTCGGGATAATTGCGTTATGAAATAGATGCGACAATATTATTCGGTAACATGGAACTGGCAATTCTCTATCATCTATTATCAGAAGTAGCATTATTTTTTAATAATTTCCTTAAACGCTGAAAAATATTGGTCTCAAAAATTGGGTTGGGAAAATTAAGTTTAATTTTCTTTCGTCCTAGAAAAAGGTATTGTTGTATCCAAATCCTTCAATCTATGGTTTACATTTGAATCGGACGATCCTATTTTATGATATGATATTTCGACATAATGAGCAAAAATTTTTACGCTCACGTCACGTAACCTGGTATAAAATTATCCTTGATTCTTCATTCTTAAAATTCATTGTGTCATTTACGTTCTTCAAGGTCGACAAGCGCAAGCGTCTCCTATGCTCTACTGCTCACACACAGATGAGAGTAAAAGCTGATTACTTTGGATCGATACACTATCCGACTCGTCGTTTCCTCATCTCCGCGATTCTGATATTCTCTGCGCATTTTGCTCCAACCTTATTTTCGAGATAGTCCCTACTCGTTGGGCGTGGGAATATTAGTTTTACAGTCTGTTAATTGTTAATTGTTATCTTCACTTAAACAATTATATTGGTGTGTAAATTGAAATATTACGATCTTAGGAAATGCTCTAAAAATGTCATATGCCATTATTTTTGTAAGATTATTACGGATTAATTTGATAGGCTCGAAATTTTTACTTACATTCATTCAAGAGCAATGAGGTTTCTATATAAATCCTATGTATATCCTTCTCCCACATGTACGATAATATAAAAACGAAATATTTTAAGAGACTTCACATTTCAATTGTAGAGATTTGTATGTCTTTGTATGTCTTCTTACTGTAAATAAAGTTGTTTCATCTGCATATGATTTTCAAGAAAAATCATGGGAGGAAGAGGAATGACTATGTCATATGTCAAATGGATTGTCATATAATGGTGAATATCATTCTCCATGCGATTAAGAGGAATTATAGGGACATGAATCCGATACCTCTCCATCAGGCAAAAGGAGGCTTCGTTCATGGAAGCCTTCACGAAGCTCGTCGAATTTGTGAACTATAATGTTCTATAAAAATTTTATATGTTCTGAAAGAGTTCTGTTTTAAATATCTTTCTGATTTCGAAATTTCACGTACTATCTTTGATATTAATACGTATGTTTATTCGGTAAAATATCATTTTACTATTTCGTTTATAATAAATATAATAAAATTATGTGAAAAGAAAAATATTGGTTTCAAAATTTTGAATAGCATATATGTTGTAAATGTGCCCTCGATTATTATAGCGTTAATGGCGCTTGAGATCTGCATTGACTGTATTATATATCGATGCTCGTTCATATTTTATGAAGCAGTAGTTCCATAATATCTGCTTGACTATTACATTAGCTAAGCTATAGCCACTACCAATTACAAGGGTAAATTTAACTTTGGCGCTTTAAATCTCTGTTATTTTACAATACATCTTATTACAATATATCTTCTTTTTTTTTTTACATCATCTCTCTTCTCTATTATTCTTCTGCTGTGTCATCCGCACGCGTTTATTTCTATTTATTTTTTCCTTGGCTGTAAATTATTTGTACAGGTTTACAATTTTACACCTTTCTACTGCTACATTATTATTAGTATTGCTGTTATTATTTTTTCACTGTTTTATTTATTATTATTTTTTTCTATATTTTCTACACTTGATATCGCGATAGTGCAAACCGTGACATTGAGCGCATAGTTCCAGACTTCACTTTGCAGCCGAGCGCGCCCCAATCGCCACGTGTTGCTTCAACTCCCCTACAACTGTTCCTTGCATTTGCAGCGTGTTCGACGTTCAAATAGAAAAGTTTTCGGCTATCAGCGCCATATGCCTGTCAATGGATTATCTCATAAAGTTCTTCCAAAGACGTACGCGACGACATTCAAAATTGCAATTGCAAATTCTTTGAAATTACACTGATTGCATATCGCCAAAATTGCTCTGAGAATTGTAAAGAGAGCATTGTTATTATTATTTCAATGACAATATCTCGTATGTTATGCTGTTTTTATGACAAATATTAATTTCAATTGAATTCATGAATTTACCGTTTAGTAAATTGTTTCGCTCGTTTCTTTGAATGTAATAAACGAAAGAAATCAAATCCTTAAATCCTGTTTCCGTTAGAAAAATATTTTTTATAATTACGTGGCAATATTTTTGATTTTTACACAAATCCTTTTTAGCTTTGCGATGCGAATTTATCGGTTAATCAGACATTCACGTTTTTGATATCACAAGGATCTGTAATGAGTCTCACGATTGTCAAAGCCAGAATCAGCTGTCTCGTTTGATCAATCGATCAAACTTTTTCTCAATTGCCAGTGAAAGTGCTTTTAATTATTCCAGATATGCGATATATTAATTAACTGCGCTTAAATTGCACGATGGTAAACTAAGAATAGCTTATACGTGCTGCATTGAATGACGTAGCCGAAGAACGTACAGCACGTTATACACTGACTCTCAATTACGTAACAATGATATTTAGTCTTATACATCTTATCTTATACATCTATTCTGTAAGTATGCGGCTCTTACCGCATCATCGCGACACATCGCGATAAACACAATTTCATGAGACAAGTAAATTTCGCGAGATATAATCCCAACGTTAGCAGATAACGAGCGGCGAGATAATTTCGGGTGCAATGCACGACACTAGGCTAAAAGAGAAGATGCGTTACGTTTCTTTTTCTCCAGCTACCCCCCCTCTCCTTTTTTTTATCTTATTTTGACCATTTTGCTATTCATATAATCTGTCATATTACATATAATTACAATGTAATTGTTGCAGCAATATTTATATGCGAAAGAGAAAATATATTTATGTATGAGAGAGAGAAAATAAAAAAGTAGAGTTTAATAATAACAGTCGCGAGGACTATAATATGCAAATTGGTCTGCAGCCGTCTATTGCGAGGCGCGTCAAGTTTATTTCCTTGGTCTTTTCTTACATAATCAGTGCTCGCGTTTGACGGTCGACCGCCATGTTACTGCATCTCTCTCTCTCTCTCTCTCTCTTTTTATTCGTTGTATCGGAGTAGTAGGAGAACTCCCGGTTCTCAACGACGATAATCGACTCTCTCGAGTGCGCGTGTGTTAGAAGAGCGGCGTAGGAGGATGAGGTACAGGAGAAGTAGGAAAGGAGGGGCAGGAGGGTGG